AAGTTGACTTGAGCAAAACAAACCTCCTGTCTTACACAAGGAATTCAGTTAAATTATTCTACAAACATCTGCAGAGCCCATGTAAGGCCCTCGTTGAACCTCACCACTGCCCGCCCCACCCCCCAAGCTTCCTTGCCAGTGCCCTCACCCACCCCCCACTCACACTAACATCGCACAGCTGTTCTGTGATGGTAGAGGGTGTGAATTCTTCTAGGGGTGTGAAGAGCAGATGAAATGTCCGGGTCAAAGTGAAACTGGCTGGCTAATGCAGCGCCCCGCAGAAGATGGCCTTCAGCCAACTGCCCATGCGGCCCGGTGGGAAGCCCTACGGAACATGGCCCATTCGGACCTCCAGGAAATTGGAGAGAATTGCAATGCTTACAAGGCAAAGCCCAGCCTGCACCTCGGCCACTCAGACCACATAGCCTCCAAACCCATACCAGCCCGCTCACCACTTTTGAACCGATCCAAACCCACCATTAAGCAAATCAGAGTCTGGCCACTTCTGCAGTGCAGCACTGTCTTAGTAACAAGTTGGAATCTCCTCAGAGAACTAATTGCTTATGAGGATCAACATGGACACTGTTACCAGCTATGTTCAGAAATGCACGGATGTGACGGTACTGCAGCGTGTCACCACAAGAACTAACCAGAGGCCCTGGTTCATGAGACGTGACCTTCAGGTCTAGGGACCGTGGGACCCTAAGGACAGCAAGGCATGCTGGGTGCAAGCACCAGAAAGCCATAACATTTTCCATAACACCAAAGACACATAATGTATGTGGAAAGGCATGCAGGCCCCCACCGATTGCAAGTCCACGTCACATACCACAGATTGTAATACCTTGCAGCCCAACAGGCTCAACCAGTTCTTCACCCAATGTGATCTGGCACACAACAAGTCAAAGAAGACCACTCCTCCCACTAATGAACAGGCACTCCACCTATCCACAGCAGAAGTGAAGAACACGTTGTGTAAATTTTATCCACGTAAGGACCTGACAATATTCCATGTTGGGATCTCAGGTACTGTGCTCATGAACTTACAGATGCACTGACAGACATTTCAATGCCTCGCTCAGACATGAATTTATCGCTGGGATGCTTAAAGACTGCTGCAATCATACTTGTGCCTAAGAAATCATCTGCTTCAATACTAAATGTCTATCAACCAGTACCTCGCACCTCCATCATAATGAAGAGTTTGAACGGATGGTCATAGAGCACATTAAAGCAAATCTCCCTGCCTCCTTTGAATCAAACCAGTTTGCATACTTTTCTGACCGGTCCACTGAGGATGTCATAACCTTGAGAAGTTTGATAGGGCCACAGTAGACTATTTTAGTCAGGAGAACGGGGTACCATCCTACTCTTTCAAAAGATGCCCAGGGATCTTTTACGACCTCAGAGAGTCAGGATCTCGCTTTTATGTCTCAACCAAAGGGCAGCATAATTTTGACAGCACAGTGTCCCCGTCACTGCACTGGGGCAGTGGGATACATACAGAGCACAGGATGGGCTAACCTGTTTGCCACAGTGTCCCCGTCACTGCACCGGAGCACTGGGATACATACAGAGCACAGGATGGGCTAACCTGTTTGCCACAATGTCCCTGTCACTGCACTGGAGCACTGGGATACATACAGAGCACAGGATGGGCTAACCTGTTTGCCACAATGTCCCTGTCACTGCACTGGAGCACTGGGATACATACAGAGCACAGGATGGGCTAACCTGTTTGCCACAATGTCCCTGCCACTGCACTGGAGCACTGGGATACATACAGAGCACAGGATGGGCTAACCTGTTTGCCACAATGTCCCTGCCACTGCACTGGAGCACTGGGATAC